AGTTATGTTTTTAAAAGAAAAAAACTACTATTGTTATAAATCACACATTCAATGCATGCCTATTTAAATATATTTACACATGGCTAGTGTATATCGTATATATATATACATATTAATTATTCATACCTTCGGTGTATAGGACGCAAGCAGATTTTGACATCAAATTTGGGGTAAAAAGTGCGTCTTATACACCGAAAAATACCATATCTTGTTTGAATGTCACTTAACTTTCAAAACACGACAAATTGACAGTTTCTGAGAATATTATTTGTGTTGATCTTTGTTTAAAATATTTCGAATGTGTTTACGGTGTCTTTTAACTGTCGTGCAACTGATATATTACTGACGGCAGAGAGCAAAAATGACATACAGATTTGTAAAAGCATGAGAAAGATTTTTTTGTTCAGTATGTGTATTTTGATCCCAAAAATAAATTTTAGTTCTATGTTAAGTTTTCTAATTTTAAATATGCGCGAAGTTTTCTGTTCTAGGCTTGAGTGCTATATTAAAATATTAATAGTTATATATATATACTATTTAAGTTACTATCGTGGTACATATTTATTTTTACCTTTGCTCGATTCTGTGCATAACCTTTTCTTATAGAAAAAAGGTGGGAGGGGCGGAAGAGCCGCACAAATGATTATTTCTACATCTTTTGTCGGATCTCCGGAATTTATTATTTTTAAGAGATCATGTTGTGTAACATATGAAGACATGAATGACCACACTTTTATTTTTGGATTCAAAGGCCAGTTTAACATCTGTCTTTCACATGTTTACCTGAATCTGCCATCTACTCCATCATTTGTAACCTTTGTAACCAGTATTATAGATAAGTAAGACAGGACTCGGGAAAAGATTTCGTGAACACAGCATTAATGGTAACACAAATGAACTTGTATCACAACATTTCTCCAACAAGTAACACAGTACTTCACAAATCAAAGTAGTTGTTTAAGGATTTGTTGTTATTAACAGCTGCTCACTTTAACATGAAGAACAACAACTTATTTATATTTTTGACATTCTGTCTCGTTTGGTTTAAACGAAATATTTTCTTAAATATATAATTTTTTTTTACATTTTCTCCCATCCTCCTTTCCGCCTTTCCATATTTCTCATTTTTTATATTTTTAATTGTTGTTCTAAATATATGTATATTTCTGTAATAATTTTTCAAGAAATTAGTCCACATATTCATTGATTGAAAGTCTTTAAGATGTTGATTGGCACAGGTTCTGCTACTATTGTTGTTTGAAACATGGGAAATTGTCTCCAGAAATGAAGCAAGAAGATGGATTGATGTGACCATAAAGTTCTATCAAGGGAAAAGCTAGAAATCACCCTCACTGTGGTAAACGTCTCAACACATTGACATTAAGGAAAAATGCATTTTGATTATAAACCTTCAAGCAGAAATATAGATTTCAAGTTAGACTTGCTTCAAAGGTTTTCATAGTCTTTCCGAAGGAAATATTTGTGCTATACTACACGATAATTACATCACAAAAGGTTCAGGTTCCAATAATAACAAGGACAGAAATACAACAGAATCCAGACAACCAGCCCGATGTACAACAGAGCAGAATCTTGAAAGATAAGCGATTCAAGCCAAAAATCAACCACCATGGTCGTCTTTGCAATTATGTCAGTGGAAGAAAGACCAACTTCTCAGCTTTTTAGAACACTTCGTCAAAGATAAATGTGATCTGCTGAAGAACCCACATTTATTGCCGAGATCACTTTCAATGTATCACCAGCGGATTCTCTCGGCCGTGTAACCTTTGTAACCAGTTCTATTTCGAATGTCATTGACATTCTAAACACAAAAAGAATTTATTTATACATAATTAAGACAGCTAGAGTGGTCTTTGTTTGACACAAAGCCGCTCATTGACGGCAGAGTGAGCAAGTAACACGCACATGTGTCCTTACTAAAAATCTACATGTTTAAGTGGGTTATAGACCTACCACCATCAGGAAGGAAAATAGTATATGTAGATACATGAAATATAGTTCACGTAAAATCCAAAACATGCAATGAAAAGTTAATAAATCATAATTCTGTTGTAACACTGCATAGGGAGCTATACTTACATTGGCATAAATATTTTCATGTTTAAAATGAAATTCAGTTACTGTCATAAACTCCTGATGAGTGACAAGATAGGAAATGATGATAAAGGACATAAACAATGGAAAACATAATCACCAAAAAGATTTGGTGGCTGGATAATTCTCGGACAATAATTCAGTAAAAAAGAAAAACAAATGAAATTTTATTTGTGAACCAGTAGTTGATTGTGCTTTAAATTTTACATATTTCATTTAATTTATTGCTTTAATTTATTGTAATGTTTTGATTTACAAATGTTAATTCTCAAGAGTTACTTTACTGCGCATTTTGAAAGCTCTATGTGCAATTTTTTTGTGTGTAATAGGATTGCTTAATGGACTTCACATTCTAGAGAGAGGCAGTATTGTAGCCTATGTTATAAATCAAGAAGGTTTCTCGAAATTTGAATTGTTGTTTTGTTTGATTTCGCGCAAAGCTAAACGAGGGCTATCTGAGCTAAGGGTACTTAATTTTTTAACTGATAGATTAGAATTAAGGCATCTATTCAATAACATTCACCGCCCACTCCTGGGCTAATCTTATCAAACAGTGGGATTTCACCGTGGCTCTTATAATGCAACCATGGCTCAAAAGTGCGTAGCGCAATTCTGCGGTAACGAGACACCCATCACGACTTTTACTCCTACATAGCAACTACCAGATGCAAATATAGGAATCAAAGTAATAATAAAATAGCTTTTGTTTAGTACTATTTCTCTACTGTTAAATTATCAATGGTAATTATATAGTTTTTACTTTTTACATAAAAGAAATATTTTTATTTAGATTTGAAAGCTTCAAATAATCAGTTTATTACTAGTTATATTAATTTTATTCCAACCATATAATAATAGTATTCCAACCACAATATACTCGCAATATCCACTGCCGATGATACGTTTCGCTCTACCCATGGCGACAATAGTGTGATTGGAATACTATTATTATCCACTCTTCTAATTCGTGAAAATCCCTGAAGGACTAGATAATTATTACAGTGTTGAAAATTTAATAGATTTAATAGGTCTTATAAAAAAAAATTTTTAATGAAATTCAGCTACTATTATAAAAACGCCAGCATTTAGGTACAAAAATATTATAGTTAAATATAATAAAAACGGTGAATAGATAAAGAATGTAGTATTTAATAATATAATAAACCTAACATTTATTAAAAACTCAGTTAAAACAACGTTTAAAAGCACATAATTATTTAAAATTGTTGAAGGCACTACGCCTTACTAAAAATCTCCATGTTTAAGTGGGTTATAGACCTTCCATCATCAGGAAGGAAAATAGTATTAAGAAAAACATACTGATATTTATATATGGCCAATACAAATACATTGTCCAATCATTTAACATACATGGTGCTGCCACTCTTCGTCCCTCCTTAAAAAAAAGAATTCTAAGTTTTTGGTTTGTTTGAAATTTTACGCAAAGCTACACGAGGGCTATCTGCGCTAGCCATCCCTAACTTAGCAGTGGTAGACTAGATGGGAAGCAACTAATCAACATCACTCACGACCAACTCTTGGGTTACTCTTTTATCAACAAATAGTGGGATTGACTGAAATATTATACCACCCCCAAGGAGAAAAGGGCGAGCATGTTCATGTGATGGGGATTGGGCCCCTCGACCCGCAGATTGCGAGTTGAGCGCCCTAACCACCAGGCCAGAATTTTCGGAAATACATTTCTACAACTCCTTGACCCACATTTCTATTTAAATTACTCTATTACATTTAGTTCACTTTTGTTATTAGTAGAATATTATTAAAAAGTATTAATTTAAAAAGTGAGAATAGAGATCTTCAAAAAATACACAAACAAAATAATTAATTTAAAGTGAAAATGCAATTGTAAAAAAAGCAAACAAGGAAGCTTAAGGTTTTAGACAACAAATCCCTGTTTTGACACTCATAAGTATTACAGCTTTTACACATAGAGTCAAAATAGGGATTTTTAGCTTGAAGAAATAATGTCAACACTATGTCTCAAACCTTAAGCTTGTTTATTTACTTTTTTGGGATTGTATTTTCACTTTAAGCTACCTATCTTGTTTCTTTATTTTTTGAAGATCCTCTTTCCTCATTTTTAAATTAACAATTTTAATAATCTTGTTTTTTAATGTCCATCATGGACATAAGCCTCTATAATACCAATACTGTCTTCTTTGAAACAGCTTAGTGTAATGAATTACGTAGTTGATGTATGATGCTCTCTCGGAAAACAATGACAACCTTTGGGTTGGCTTCATGGAGGTTGTATGGCTATTACTCCTGATATCATTACCACAATGTTATCATTGACAGTGGTATTGTATGTATGATCATCATGGTGCATGGTGATCAACAAACCCTATGTTATGTATATGCTGGTAAGATATATATAGCTACTATATTTATACCCTGGGGAGTCTGTAAACACTGGATTGGAGGGACTACTGCACTATACTGGAATGGCGCCTGGACTGGATTTTGTAACGGCGTACGTGCATGCATATGTTGGATATTATTTATATCTATATATATACATGCAGACTTTATAGTTTTTAAGCTGTAAAGCCGTATATATAGATAGCCGTATGAATTTTTCAACTTGTATTGATGTATACATATATATTCAATGCAAATATAAGACAATGTTTCATAATATAATATCATATGTATACAAATAAGCACTTTAAATATTTTTATAGTTATATTTCGCCCTCTCTACTGACCATAATGTTGCTGCAGCTAGCAATATTTCCTCTTAGAGTGATATTCTGCACACTTTAAAGGGTCAAAAACGTGTTAATTAACAGTTATGAATTGATTATATTAATATACCTTCCCCCCTGCATTTATGATGGATGTAAAAATAGGTGCTATGAGATTGTATTTGGAAGTAATTTTACATGAAATATAGTTCACGTAAACTCCAAAACATGCAATGAAAAGTTAATAAATCATAATTCTGTTGTAACACTGCATGGGGAGCCAGACTGGAATTAACATAAATATGTATGTTTTATTACAGTAAAGTACTGTACTATCTACATGTAGAGTAGTCATTAATTGTTAAATTATATTATTGATTTAAACAACTATGTACAACAATAGTATATTAGTTATAATCATTGTCTATCATAAACGTACATGTATGCATTACTGAAATAACATGTTAGCATTCTTCTGGGGTGCTTTCCCATAAATTACTTACATACAGTTTCAAAGTTGATGATTATGTATTAAAGCTAGAGCACTCAGTCTTTCTTCGGTTTGTATACACGTCAGGTAATTATTCAAACTGCGGAGAACAGATGCCGAACGTTCACATGAACATGAACTTTCAGTAACATAAAGATAGGTGGTACACTGAAGTGCGCTTTTAAGCAATCAGCCAGTATCTGGGATCTGTCCTGGAGATGAAGTTCCATCGATGAAGTTCTTCATAAAAATATCAGGATTTGGCAAATCTTCCCTGTATAAATCTATAGCCTGTCTGATGTCAGAGATAGAAAAATCTTGTATGAGTTTTGATGACACAAGTTTCTGAATTGATGTTGCTTGTTTTACATGTGCATCAAATCTGGAAGATTACTGATAATGTGGTAAAGAAAAGGAATAGTTACTGTTTTCTTAAAGTAATCCTCCGTTGACTAACTCATGGCATGTTAACATTAATACCAGATGTATTTACAATAATACTGCTGTGCTTGAAGATACTATGTGAATAATGATCTACGTTCACTCTTAGTGAAGTCAGTTCTTTACAGCATTGTTCCATTAAAGAAACACCAGAAACAATGCCTTGGCTTGTAACTGCTAGATATGCATGAGTGTTTCAGTTAAAGTTTAATGCAGCGTTATGATTTGGATAGTTTATATAGCGCGGATGTCATATTTGGTTAATTTAGAAGCGAGACTTTATGGTAAGTTTGTTCACGTAATTGTTTACGAATCATACGTTGCATAGTGTGTACGTTCAGTTGTTATGAGTTAACGATTGTTATATTGTTGCTTAATGTTACTATAACTTTCTGAATTTTTCTCATTGTTTTAATTGTGTAATATGTATCAGAATATCTGCTATTACGTGGAATGTTCTAGACTTCTGTCGGAGTCTAAATACGCGTCGAAAGATTATTATTTACATCTAGACTACGTGATTGTGAGTTTATCTATAAAGAGTGTATAGTAGCGATTTTTGAAGTGAAATTATCACAGAGTGTATTGTAATAACTGAGCAGAGAAGAATAATTGTGTTATAAAGTAATTGAACCAGACTGTGTGGACTTTGGTGAAAAAAAGAGACAATTATTTAAAGTTCTGAATACAACTGTGATAACCAACAGTGTAACAACCATTTGTATACACGTTTTTAAAACAAGTGGATTGTGTTGCTGTTTGTTTATTGCTGAAATTTATCGCCAACAAGAACACAGACACCTACTGTGAAGAATCCGGCCTACAAAACTGACTGTAGCAATATGGCTTCAGACTTCCAATCACCAAGTGCCAACAGAAGCCATTGCATTTGACTATTTCATGCCAAAAAAATCTGAAGAATGTAGACAGTGTAGAAAATGTTAAATACTATCAGCAGCTGCGCTTTAACCATATAAGCTTTTTTACATCACAAAAATAGGAGGATCTGCCAAACTCCCTGTGTATGTGCATGATTTACTAATTTGATCTTATGTCTACGAATAGGAGAAGCGAATAAGCTTAACCTGAGGTGAAACTTTACCTTTGTTTGTTTGTTATGGATTTCACGCAAAGCTACACGAGGGCTGTCTGTGCTAGCAATCCCTAATTTAGCAGTGTAAGACTAGAGGGAAGACAGCTAGTCGTCACCACCCACCGACAACTCTTAGGCTACTCTTTTACCAACGAATAGTGAGATTGATCGTAACATTATAACGCCCCACGGCTGAAAGGGCGAGCATGTTTGGTGTGACGGGGATTCGAACCCGCAGATTACGAATTGAACGCCCTAATCACCTGGCCATGCCGGACCAGTTTCCATACTATAACTTTTAATACACGTTGTGTATCTTCACAATCATTGGCAGACTTTTAATAAACATTACAAGTCTTTTGTACACAAAAAATCAGGTTTTAATGAAGTATTTTGACTAAAGATTTGTCCGCAAATGTATAATTTCAATATATTAGTCCATGTGCAAAGTGATTTCCATGTTAAGATTAAATATACTAATCTCTAAGACATCCTAAATATGTTTCACAAATTTTGTGATTTTTTTTTCAGTAAAACTTTATATTTTATCTGTTAATGTTATTCTCTCTGCCCTAACTTTAAACAAGGTTGGTCAATTTGACTGACCTCGTAACCACAAAAAAATTAAATCTAAATTACTCCTTTCTTCTTTCTAAAATAACTTCAAATTGTAATATTAACCTACATTTGTATATCCTAAATAGCTTTAAACTCATAACAGTATATATCTATTTATACTTGAATTTAATTTTATTTCCCTCTGAACCCTGTCTAACTACTTTTTGCGCCATTGTAAGTTTTAAGTCACTTGGAGAACGTGCAGCTCACGTTATGCTATCAAATTACATTACCCGTGAACTGCTTGCAAGGTACCTCGTGAAAATGTTTTATTAAATTATTATTATTTATTTCATCTAATCTAACCTTAACTAACATAAAAGTTTCTTATTTTTTACATTTTATTTACTTTTACAATAATAAATAAAGAAACGCATGAAAACCAAGAAATAAAGTACTTACCTGAGTCTTCTTATTTTTGCTGTCGACTGTAGATGACACTTAACCCTACTTCTTTAATACTAATTGTAGTATTGCACTAAATATTTTTTATTTAATTATATAATGCACCAAAGATAGAATAATAACGTGCAAAAATCAGACAAAGTTCCATAACTATCACAGTTTTTCTGGTTTTCTAACTATTTGACAAGCTGATCGATGTGTTTACCGTGGAAATCAAGCTTTAACTGAAAGAGGAATTTACAATTCTTTTTACTAAAAACAACGTAATATAACTCATTTAATAGTTGATAATCATGGCTTTCTATTGATTGTAAATAGAAAGAGAGAACTATTGGCAATTTCTGAAAGAGAGGATGTGACAGATGGGTGTGAAAAAATTCTGATTGTCTACTTTATGACTCAATAACCAAGTAAGTTTGAAGGCTATGAAAACTGTGTTTTGCTTCAGCGATGACAATATTATATTAATTAATAAATTTCGTACTTTTTGGAGGGGTGTTAAAAAATTAAAGAATGGTATGCCCAGAGAGCAAATGTCAAAATTCTCATACTAGGGAAACTTCTAGACTTTTCTTTAATGTTGCCTTGTAAAAGTAAGAATTTGAAATCTATATACTATTAAAATATTGTTAAGAAAGCGGGAGTCACGTTACGCTGCTGGTGTATTGGTGCTGGTGGCGTGTGCGAGGAGCTTCCTAGTTTGTTCGGGACGCCCTCTTTTTTAGTATATAAGCCCGGAAAAAGAAGGGAAGAGATATGTAAACAGATTGAAGATAGAAATAATTGAGTCAAGCGAACAGTAGGCACCATAAATAAAGTGTGTGAATTACTGTGAGTTATAGCATATGTTATAAAGGTTGTTAAGTTTAAAGTGACAGCGGAAATTCTGTGTATTACAAAGTTGTATCGAGAAAGAATAAACTAGTTTTAATTAAGAAAGGACTTGTATCGCTGAAGTTCCTTGGAAAGAATTTATACGGGAAATTAACAAACGAGCAGATACGTAACATATTGGTGTCAGAGAGTGGGACAAAAAAAAGAAGACGATGGAAACGAGAAGTGGCAAATCAAGCTACAGCTTAGCAGATCTGATGGCAGCAATACAAGAACAGCAAAAGAAACAAGACGAACGAGAAAATAAACAAGAAGAGAGATTACAGCAGAGGCAACTGGAACAAGAAAGGAAACAGCAAGAAAGTCTCCAACAGTTGTGGGAAAGTCAGAAGCAACTACAGGAAAGTCAACAACAGTGGCAAGAAGTACAAATGAAAAACATTAGTAAATTTCAGAGTGAATTAAATACATTAAAGGACGATTTACTGTCTTTTACACAGGGGGATATATTAACCACGGACCTAATCAGCCCCAGACAACAAGAGGCCCCCTAAAGACCCCACAGCTAAATCCTAATGCAGACATCTTCAGTACTGCCAGAAGTCACATTCAAGACATGAATGTCAGTAATAGGAGTGTTCTAGTACGAAGGAAGCCACAGGAATTCGATGGGAAGGCACCCTGGGAAGCATATAGAGCACAATTTGAGCTCCTGGCAGAAATGAATGGATGGACAGAGGAACAGAAAGCAGTGTAGCTGGCAACGATCTTGAAGTGACAACCACTGGAAATACTTGGACAGTAGTCAGCAGACAACAGGCACAACTATAGAGTACTGGTAGCTGCTCTAGAACACAGGTATGGAACTCAAAATCAGTCCGAAGTCTACAGGGCTAGGTTTAGGACTAGAGTCCATGCTAAAGGGGAGAGCCTGTAACAGCTGGCACAGGATTTGGAAAGTATGGCATACAATGCCTACCCAACTGTGCGACCTGATGTCATCAAGCTGTTGCTGAGAGATCATTTTGTAGACGCCTTGGACAGTCCACAACTGAAGATACAAGTAAAGCATGCACACCCCTCTACTATGCAGGATACAATGG